CGACAGTCAACACAAAAAGATAAAATAAATTACAAATTATAATGATTAATAAATATGCATTATCAATAAAAAGTAAAAAACGTTATAAAGAAAAAAATATACTATTTTTTCATAATACAACATTGGAAGTTGTATTATTTATGATCCTTATCTAAAATAAAAAATATTAATCATTTTCTACTTTAAACGTAATTCATATATAAAAATATTATAGCCCATAGGAACCATGGTTAAAAAAATAAAACAACATGGTCATTAATCATATATTGCAAAAATCACTTTTTATAAACAACATTGGATAATATAATATCTTAATTTGAGTTCTCTTTCTTCGACGAAAAGGTTCCCTTTTGGTGATTAATTTCGTTTCGAAGGATGGTGAATGATTTAATTTCAACATTTAGCTTCTTTTAGACACGCAACAAATAGTTAAGTTTTTAAGATTAGTTTCTTTCGTAAAAATGTAATAATATAAATAACTTGCAATACATCGTACTTTCCAAGAAGTTTGCACACATGAATCAAATCAAATGAGAGAAAAATCAAAACAACAAAAGAACAATAGAAAATGAAATTGATTGAGTTTGTTGGTTTTTTCACACATAATTCAACATGTGTACCTTTTGCATTCGATACATTTGGTTTTCTCGCACCAGAGGCGGTGGAGCTCCCCAACAGAGTCCAACGGGTCATGCATTCTAATGTCATATCTCCTAGATCCACAAATGTTGTTTTCAAAAGAATTGATTTTGCCATCCAGAAAGGGCTAGCGGCGCAGCTTATTGCCCGTTTGCCTTCAGTCGATACGTATTGAACTATATTAGTTGAATATGTTTTGAAGGTTAGAGAACGGAGAAGTATTCAACCATCTTTATAATGACCATTTCTAGTGCAAAAAATGTTTGATAGGACTAAGTTATATTATCTATATCTTTGAATTTCCAGATGTTATTTTCACTTTTGTAAACCAAAGTGTTAAATTTTTTTACTTTTCACCTTTGTAAACCAAAGTATTCATTTTTTGGTGTCGTTTTAAGGGTATATAAAGAGTTAACACTAACAGTTATATCAAAGTAAATGTATATTAAATACAACTACAAAAACATAAATAATGTCATTTACACACTTACCTGCGAAACAAAGATGATGTAAATAAATGAAAATACATCATTAAACTAAGGCACAATAATATCATTAATCTTCGACCATTGAACAAAAGTTCATTAAAACAATGTAAAAACCACAAAACTTACAATTGGTTTCAAATACTCATAATAATAAAATAATAATAAAGTTGTGTATCCATGAAAATTATGTATTTGTTACGCATTTATGAACAAGGTACTCTTAAAAGATAAAGAAGAAAAGCAAGAATGTCACATGAAAGTGGTAAAAGATGCAAACTTCACAAGATAACTATTCCAAATTTGCATTGTACTTCCGTTACTTTGAACATTTTACCACCATTCATCTAATCAAATAAATAACATTATACTTTCGTTCCTTTGTTAATTGTAGCATCCTACATTAGTTTTTGTTAAAATAGACAAACAACGAATATGCCTTGATATTTCCATTTCCATTAAAATAATCATTATTGGCTTTTAGTCAAACCCATGGTTTGATTTCCATTGCTACAAATCGATAAAAAAAATCAAAAAACTTTAACATTTTAATATGATTAAAAGAAGAAAAAGAAACATGCTACCTTTTTGAGAAATACCATAGAAATAAAACATGTTTCTCTTTTGGTTGAGGCTATATGTGTCTAGATCTGAGTTTTCTTGATTAATCCTCTCTTCTGCACTACAAGCTATAGAACACCCCCACAAGCTCTACCCCACTTCATTGTTCAACCCTACCATGTGAATATGCATAATTGACAATGTCAATAATAAAACATTACACATATTTTCAAGTCTAATGTCTTAATAAGAAAAAACTATTAAGTACAATTATAAATTGGTTAATTTTGCAGGTAAACCCATTAGTATGTTTAATTAATTAAAAGTTTTACCTACCATGCCCTTGTAGTTAAACCCGTCAGAAGCTTATATGTATAAGCATAAAAGTCATAAGCACCAATATTTCGAAGAATGTCACATGAAAGTGGTAAAAGATGCAAACTTCACAAGATCAAACCTTTTCAACAAAAGAAGTTGGATCATCCAAGGTAAATTGGTGAAGCTCCATGTAAAATATTGTACCTGACACCCAAAACAACATAAAATTTTCATAATTAAAGACCTAGGTAGAGTAACTATTTTGAAATATACAAATGTGTTATTCTGTCACGTTTTTACCATTTTCACCATAAATATATGGAGGCCTTCATGTGGACATCCATATGAGCATCCATAATTAGACTATTAAACTGAATCTCGTTAGTCTAAAATTCGGATATAAAAAACAAGGAAAATGCTAAAATACAATTGACAATTACATACTTCATGTTCAAATATAAGTAATAAACTATAAGTATCATATGTCAAAAAAATACAAATAAAAACAATATTTTTACTGTGGTAGGTTTGGCTCCGAAACTTCAAAAATAACTATCTGAAACTCATAGATTTAGAATCAAATTAACCTAATCCTACACAATTTAAGATGATTTCCACAAAGGGTAGTGATTCTATTGTTCTTTTGAATAACATAATAAATCAATCAAACAAACAACCGTAGAAATCCCTAACAATAGAAAGCTAGAAAATTTGGACCAGAAGATGAAGAAGCAGGAAGAGGAAGAAGCAGCGTATTTTAGAATTGTTACCGATTATATTAGGGTTTTAGTAAGAGAGAGGAGTTGAGAGATAGAAAACTTACAGGTAAATTGGAAGAGGAAGAATCTGTTAGCCCATAACTATAATTGGTATATACTTGAATTGATAGTAGCACAGTCCTTTTGGGTTGCCCTCAAACCTAGCAATTAGACATGATGACTTTGAGAGAGAGAGAGAGAGAGAGAGAGAGAGATTAATTTTTTATGTGATTAATAAATTAATATAAAAGGTTTATTAATGTATTATGAAAATAATATATTAATTAGAAAAAATATTATTTAATTAATAGTTAATCATAATTAATTTTGAGATTAATAGAATTAATTAAAAGTGCAGGGTCAGAAATATAATTATTCAATAGTTAAGCAAAAGGTTCCAGAACCTTCCTTCTTAAGAGATGGACGGTTTTTGAGGATATTCTAAAATATTCCATGTGGATAAATAATGAGTTGGATAATTACCAATTTGAAATATTATTATTATTTTCCGATTAGAGTTATGTAGGGCTTCCTTATACCACTATATAAAGGACCCTAGGGTCTCCATTTTTCGGCCACTCCATTCCATAGAGAGATAGTCGAAAATTCTACTTCTTTTCTCATCCTTCAGCTCATCCTCTTGCTAGCTTGGGTATGATTTCATTAGATGCACGACATTTGTGGTGCTTGCTTCCAAGAGATCCACAAGAAGGAATCATTGTTATTTACTATAATAATAGTTAAGGTATGTAATCCTAAACCCTAATTTGTGATTTTCGAAAATTAATTAGGGTTCTTAGGGTTTCTTATTTGATGTTCATAGTTATAGGTTCAATAGTGAAATTATAGATCATTTTAGGTTGCATGTGAACTTAAGGGTTTTAAGTTTATTTGTTTTACCTAAATCCCATCAGAATCAACGCCTTTTATAATTGTTATCGATTGTATTAGGGTTTTAATAAGAAAAAGGAGTTGAGGGAATACCATGATTAGGTGGGTGATTTTTTGGCTAAAATATAGGAAAGTTTCAAACTGAAACAGATTGTATTGGATTTTGTCAAAGAAGAAATGATTTTTGAATGAACAGTAAAGTCTAAGAAAAGGACACGTGGCAAAGGCGCTCATAAAATGACACGTGGTAATGATGAACTATTCTCTTATTAAGAATGATAGATTTCCTAGGAAAAGCGTAGGAACTTCTGAGGGACTTCTGGGGACGAAGAATTCTTTGGTATTACCTATTTATTACTAGGGAACTTCTAAAGAAATGTCAAAAATGCGTTTTCCTCGGTAGTTCCTCGGTAAGGAGTAGGAAGTAGCGAAAATTTCTGGTTCTGGGAAATTTTTGTAGGAAACTCCACATTTTTCTAGTAGTGATTAGGGTAAATGCTTAATTCTTTATAGCCAATAGAAAAAAGTACTTATACTCTAAAATCAAGCTAAAAATCACAGTTGCTCCATTTAATTGCCTCAAGAATCAGACTCCACAAACTCCTTCATACTATGAACTGCATTCTGAATAACTATGTCACCAATTCTGACCAAGTCAAAATTACTTTCAACACTTAGTACATTAGCTTTATCAGTTTTCGTTCGTAATTTGTGAGAGCCATTTGTTTTATAATGTGCTAATTCTTCAACTTAGAGCTAGAGGGAGGATGCCACCACAATACTAGCATCATCAGGGGTTGAAGGAGGAGGTGGGAATATTGAGAAGTGGGGCAAACCTTATTCTAATCGATGACATATCATGGCTGATGTGGCAAATCTTGCAGATGTGACACTGAAACCTGCTAAAATAGGTCACGGTGACAAAAAAGACAGGTTGTTTGTGACTTTATGCCATAAAAGCAACAAAATACCTTTAGGAACTGAATCAACCAATTGTTGAAACATTTCAGTGCATTTATGTCATTTCCCTTAGTAATTAATATGTCATGACTATTTTTTGAGTCATCCTAGTTGTTTGTTTGTTTGTTTGTTTTTGTAACTCAATCCTATCTAAATTATGGATTAGCCACCGACTATATTCTACATTGCATTGAGATATAGAATATACGAAGAAAACTTGCTGTTGATTATAAGTAGATTTATATTAATTAACAAGTATTTGTGTTGCATAGATTACAAGGACCAAAATACAATAATTACATAAGTATACATATGGACATGCAGATAGCTGTGCTTTGTGTGTTTCGTTCAGGTTATAACTTATAAAAGGCATGCATAAACTGGAGATCTAAGCAGTTGGATACGATGAATCCATAGCTATTCCACATAGACCTTCTTTGGCACTAACATCTCTTTGCATCATTATGTATCCACTATCCCCCCAGCTGGCACCCCACGAATTTTTTACCAACCAGTACTTCATTCCATCATCGGTTACTCCATATCCAACTGCTGTAACACCATGGTCTAGATCAGTTCCACAATCCCCAGTAAACACGCCACCTGAATAGAACTGGAAACCCATGCCACTGGCGTCAATGGAAACTGATATGGGCTGATTGGCGACTGCCTGTAACAATGCGGATTCACTGTTGGCTGGCACTTTTTCATACCCAGTAATGGTGGCAGCATGGACAGCTTCTTCCTTGGTGTTGCAGGTTCCATCTGCTGCCTGATATGGGTAAGCCACCTCGGTGTTGATGCCTTTGTTTTTAACGATAAACTCAAAGCCATCTTCCATCTCGCCACCATCACATCCTTGATCTACACCACTCCTGTCACAGTCCACTAGCTCTTGCTCAGACAGTGAAATTAGTTTTCCAGTTGTGAGCTGAGTAATTCCTTCCGTTGCAGCGATAGTTGAAAATGCCCAACAGCTTCCTATAGAATAAAATACACTAAATTATAACCACGATATTTTATATTTACGTATTGCCAATAGTGTAGAAATCAGTTTTTATGTTTTTGTTGTTTCTTTTATCGTTATATGCTTTATATTATACACAAATTTAACCACGATTACATTAAGTCGTTATCAACGTACCACATTGGCCTTGATCTTTAACTGGGGTAACAGCTCCTTTCTTTCTCCAATCCATGCTAGGTGGCACGGCAGTCACGTTTTCATACCTAAAAGGTGTTGTTCTTGCTGATCTTTTGTTTGATGAAAACTTATATCCATTACGAGCGGCTTTGAACTCTTCATTCGTTTGGTCTGCAAATTTGTTAATCGCTAGTTTGTAAGGCTGGTTTTCAGCACTATTGAAGGATTCAATGAATTCTACATTGTCCTTGAATATGTTGAAGCGCATTTTCTTCTCTGCGTCATCCTGGTACACACGTCCATAGCGTACCATCCACAGCTCATGTCTCTCAGAGATGGATAAATCACTTAACATGCGGCATGTAACTCCTGAAGACCACATCCCTACAAGAAGAAGAAAGGCGATAAGTTGCATTATTTTGAGAGACGAAAGGCCCATTGGTTACAAGTTTGATGTCTTCGGGATTGTTTTTGAAGAGCCAAGTGTTTTAGGTTTTTGAGTTGGTGCATGGCTTTCGTGCATCATGTATGAGATTTATATAGGACGAGATTAATTCTGGTTTATTAAACATTTTCTTTGGCGTGGAGGAGGCAACTAATATGATGCAACTCAAAAAGCATCTCTTTTTTAGTTGACTGCAACGCAAATGTACATGCTCCGACAAGTACTATGTCTAACGTAGACGAACAGACGATACATATTTAAGAAAACTATTGTGGTTTTATGCATCATTTATTTATTTAAACTTACCAACGTTATGTTTTCTTTTTATCTGCTCTAGCTTCGAAACGACGGCTATCGGCTTCAGTTTCGTTTTGTAACAATGTTTAAAATTACATATAAAATAAGTAAAAAAATACGTTTATATATTTAAAATACATAAAAATACATAAATATATATATATATATAAAAACATAAAAAATACAAAAATACGTAAAAACAGATATAGATACGTAAAAAATATGTTTATACATTATATAAAAATTTTGACGAAATCTGAAAAAAAATCTCATTATTTTCGAAAAATTGACAATTTGGTCCAATGACCTGCTGAACAGGTCAAAATGGCTAAAGTGAATAAATTAGCCGGTTTCTTGGGCTTTTCTATTCAAAATGTGAAAAAGTCAGGACTTTTTTATTCAAAAAATAAAATTTAGGACTTTATAAAAAATTTGCCCAAAATATTGAGATTTTTCTGGAGATATCCCTTTTGGATATTGATGCCTTAAAACTATATTCATCTTAACTAGCGGCCACCAAAGCAAAATTACTTCCCTCGCTCCCCACTTTTTTCCTTTTTCCTTTTTTTTGTTCGAGTTTGGTAAAAAAAAATTTTGAATTTGTGATACTAATTATTGTCGAAACTCTATGGAACTCAATATTAAAATATTTTATTTTAATACAATATGGTTATTTTATGCATAAATTACACGAACAATCTCTCGTAAGGCTGACACAAAGAAATATTTTGAAATAGTCAGAGTTGAGGGTATGATGATATTCTTTTTTTTTTGGAAACGACAAATATTATTAAAAACACCATGATTAGCAAATAACTAGATCATCGAAAATAGATAAAAAAAACCAAGTTTCGAAACAGGAAAAGGGAAAAACAAACAAACAGCAAATTACAAGAGATGTTCAAAAGGTGAACAACACCATTCCGCCCAACTACCACAACCCACAGAGCTCCTATACTTACACCAATTATAGGATGTGGAGATAATAGTATCCGCCACATTCATAGGAGCAGTATAAGAAATTTTGAACACCCTATCATTCCTGGCTAGCCAGATAGACCAAAGGGGTACAGTAGAGGATCATACTTCCAATCACCCTTCTTTTACACCTGTTTCCACCGGAAGCCATCGAATCGAGAAAGTCCAACATGTTGTTAAATCTTCTAGCTTGAAATCCACACCATTTAAAGATCCAGTTGTGAACCTCCTGAGCATATTCATAGTTAAGAAGGAGATGATTTTCCGTTTCCAATTCATTACCACACATCGGACAATGTTGGTATCTGGATTGAACACCCCTTTTATTTAAGGAATCCACCATTGGAATACATCCGAACATAGCTCTCCAAACGAAGCATCGGACCTTGAGAGGTATAAGCTTTGACCAACAGATAATAGGGCTTGTATAGGATGTCAATTTTGAGTTTATAATACGCCTCATGTCGCCCACCTTGTACACACCATCGGAAGTCAAGGGGAATCTGAAACCGTAAGGTTGGGAAGTCCCACTCACTGTCATGTCACCTATGTTGCGGTATAGGCCTAGTAATTCCTGTAGTTCCACATCCGAGGATGGTTCTTGCCACCAATCCCAAGTAAAACCAACACCTGTCAAACGATTAAATAGGAGGCAACATTTAACTTTTTCAAGTTTATATAAATGAGGATATTTGACTTGGAATGGGGTCTTTCCACACCAGGAATCCTTCCAAAACAGAATTTTCACATTTCCATTTGGTATGAGATTGAAATAATCGAGACAATATATGTGGAGAGACTCAAGGGCATTAATGGCTTTATGGATATTATTCCAAATGCCAGATGAAGTTTTCCTAGCAATGTAGGTGGCTGGCTTTTTGCTAAGATTATGAATGCTCACGATAACACGCTTCCATAGACTATTGTCTTCGTTCATTAGTCTCCACCACCATTTAATCAACAAGGCTAGATTTTGAGCTTTTAGTGTGGAGATGCCAAGGCCACCATCAGCAATAGGGGCAATAATCTTCGACCAATCAATCCAATGTATTTTTCGCTTCAACTCCCCACCCCCCACAGGAAGTTGCATCTAATTTTTTCCAATTGATCAATTATACCTTGTGGTGCCTTGAATAATGACAAATAATATGATGGAAGGCTATTCAAAACTGATTTAATGAGTGTTATACGACCGCCAAAGGATAATGTTTTAGCTTTCCAGTCAGACAATCTAGACTTGAATTTGTCCAAGATTAGCTGCCAATGTTTAATTAAACTCATATTTGCCAATTATTGTTGGATATAGTGTCTAAGTCCATAACTTTATTTGGTATGTACTTGACCCGACCCGGCATGGTCCATTTGGGTTGCATGGCATTGCAATACTTGGATAGACTAAATGAGAGAATAAGGCACTTATGATTATTAATATATTATAAGTTCTAATATATTAATAATAGTATTATTTAATTAGTATTGATCAAGTATTAATCTAGGATTAATTTGGTGATCAAAGTGAGACTAATTAAATATATAGGGTTGATTATGACAATCATCAATTCTTTTATGGTGGATTAATGATCCATAGTTTATGGGTTATGGATGTAACCAAATGGAGCTCCATGGATGGTCCATGGGAGTTACAAATCCATGGGTCATGGGAAATCAAGAGTCATGACAATTAAGGGCATTCATGTGTAAACCCTAATTGTGACAACACTATAAAAGGAACCCTATAGCTAGCAAAAAGTGGAGCTAGTGGACATAGTGTTACTAGAGAGGGCATAACCAATTTTGAGTGCTAGAAGTATTCTCTCAAGTTATTCCAAGTCTTGTGGTGTTGTGTGAAGCATTTGAGGCACAACATTTGGGGTGCTAGGCTCACAAAGTCTTGAAGGAATCCAAGCAACAACAAGGTATGTATTTCTACTAGTTTTATGTTTTATGTAATCCCCATGCCATGCTAGTTAGGAAATAACCTTGAAAAAGTAATTTGCATGTATATAGAGAAAACATAGATTCAAGGTTATTAGGGTTGCATGTACACTTAGGAAGTGTTAGAATGCTCAAAACCCATCAGTGGTATCAGAGCCTAGGACTGTTTTCTGTATACTTGATGCAAAACTGCTTAAAAATCGAAAATTCTGCATTCTGACGACTAGACTCGCCGAGTCCATGGGGAGGACTCGCCGAGTCCATGAACAAATTCATCCTACTCGGCGAGTAGAATAATGCACTCGGCGAGTAGGAGCGTGCTGGGCAGTTTTTTCGAGTTTTGTTGCTGGAAATGGATTAAGATCATTATCCCAATCTGTTTTGGACTTGTAAAATCTGTTTTTCAAAATGATAATGATTATGTTAACCCATTTTACATGGCTTTTATCAATTTTCAAGTATTGTATATAGTTATATGATTTCTTGAAATTGCTTAATATGAATTTGTGTTCTTATGAGTTTTTAGAAGATCATAGGAATTATGTGTAACCACCATGTGTGTTTAATTCATGATCTTAATGGCTATGATGGTGTCCATAACTTGTCCTCAAGTTATGGATAACCAAAAGTCACTTCTTTTAATTATGATTAAAGAACTAAAGAGGTTTCATAAAATGAAGAGTCTTCATTTTTATGAACCATTAAAACTCATAAGTTACAAATTGAAGAGACTTGGAATAGTTTCAAATCTTGCCCTCAAGTTTTGGAATTTGAAAAGTCTTATACTTTAATACTTTAATTCCAAATTAAACCTTAGATTTTTAAAAAGGTTTAAAAATCAACACTTATACTATTATTATAATTTTATTATATAGATATGTATAAGAATATGTCATTCTTACCGTTAGTAGGCCTCATTCACGAAGCCGGTCTATAAGGGGGGTATAAGGTTGTTGCCTATAAAATGGTGACTTAATGGGTGTCCACTCTCACCCACCGCTTCCTTGATCGGTGGAGGGTCGTTAGCCGAACGGGTAGGATACGACTTTAAATACTGTTAAAAGTATAATGAATTATAAAGTAACTATACATTATAAATTCCCAATCTTAGTTACTTTAGGAAAATGTGAAATTGGTGCTAGCCCATAAAATTACACTTTGTACCTTACCAAGTCGTTAGTGGAGCGTGTGTGGTTAACCGGCACACTAACATGGACTAGTAAGAGTGGCAAAGGGTAACTTGACTTTATTATAGATCGGTGGAGCGTGTGTGGTTAACCGGCACATCGATTAGGTAATATTGTTGAGGGTACCAAGTCAATTTGTATGGTTATTCACACCTTGTTTGTGATCCTCGGCATCCCAGTCACAAACTTGAGAGGGCACAATCGAGATTCAAACATGCCATTGAAAAGTTCAATGTATCTCAAAAGATCTAGGAGTTTCAAAACCAATAAAACCTAATAATAAAATATTTCGTTCTTATGGTGGAAATTGGTAAATCGTCATTTACCTACCTTCAAATATTTTATATATGGATTACGGCATCCCTCTTCCAACTATAAATAGTTTGTTGGATCCTAGCCTTAATATTTCATTTGGGTGAATTATTAAGGATTCCTAATCTAATGAAACTTGTCTTTCTTTCCTTTCAGATGTCTTCCAACAATGCTTCTGGCTCAAATCCAACAGGCTCCTTTTCCCTTATGAACTTGTGTGGTAAGGTCATCTTTGATGGATCCAATTTCAATGAGTGGATCAGAAACATCAGAATGATTACCCGC